GATTTTGATAAACTAGTCATTCTCTTAATGGAAAGCCAGCACTAAATTGGAGCCATCTGCTGTCCTCCTTTGCAGGAAAGAACATCTTTTACCTGGGCTCCTGGCATCTTTTCGTCCATGAGGAATTCTGTTGACACTGAGGATGTACCCATCCTGAGTGATGACTTCATACTCTTCACTGGGGTAGCCATTATAGGTGATGATCTCACTCTGCCAGGTAAAAACCCAGACGTTAGCTCAACATCTTCTCCAGAGGTGATCGGAAGGAACTAGAACAAAGCATCTGGTGTGTGCTTATTGGGGTGAATTATCTGAAATCTGTAGCCCCAGGTAACTGTAAAATCAATTTACTGTGTAAAGTCTTGATAAAAAATTAGCAGAATATTTAAAAAATGCTGCTATTGGCAAATTTGGGGGTGGGTAGTTGGGTAGAGATAATATTTAGTATTTTCTGACACAACTATGTTCTCCAGCTGATTCTCGAGACCCCTTATGGTTTGGTAGAAGGCAGTTATATATATTATCCAAATAGCTTAAAATAGAAATTTTAATATTTTAAAAATATAAATTCAGAAGAAGAGGTGGCCTATAAATTCTTTTTTGCTTTACATTACTAGAAAATATTATTTACTCAGTCAAAAGGGGAGATCTTCCTAACTTTACTCTTAGAGAAATGTTAAATATCACCTACGTTTTATCTGTTCCCTTATCTGAGACTCTCTGCTATCACAAGACCGTTCATCTGCCTTATGTGATGTCCTTTGGGACTTGGCATGACTTACAATATTCATCCACACTTCAGGATTCGCTTCTTCTTCCAAATTAAAGAATCTACCAGCACTTAAAGTTCCACAGATCAAACAACAGGTTGTTGTTAAAACCAGCCACATCATGGGAATGCCTGACGTAAGACATTTAATAATCACAGATTAATTTTATACATCAACTTTGCTTTAAGAAATGAAAACAGTGCCCTACTGAAAACCGGACGGACATCCTAGGAACACTGAGAAAGTGTGGAAGGAAGCAAACGCAGTGAGCTAACTCAGCATGGGAATCCTTTCCTCACATAGAAACTGCTTTGACCCAATCCACTTCTGCAAGACATTTCATCCAGTACCAAGCCTTATTGTTTTGGTCGTCCTTTCGTCAAAGGTTTTCAATTATGTTTTTTTTTTTTTT